TTCTGGATATTTGTTTGCAATATCTTCATGCAAACAATACAAACATAATGGTCTAAAAACCAATAAAAATTAAATTCTAGTCTAAATTTCTAATTTTAGTAAAAATGTACTTTGAACAAATCAACAGATTATTACAGATTATCAACAGATTATTACAGATTATTAACAGATTATGAAAGAGCAAGTTTAATAGTATTTCTTTCAATTATTAATAAATGGATTTATTTTTAGAAAATGTAACATAGATATAACAAGAAGTATCTTGTGAATTCATTTGTAACATATAATGAATTGATCAGCAGACTATTCTCGAATTGAATCCAGATATGGAAATATCCCTGACTGCATTATGATCACGTTAATTATGAGATTATGTGACCTAAGATTTTCTGTTACCCCCCACCCCCTAAAATATTAGCTAATATATTTCAGCACCCTAAATATTTAACAAATAGTTTTAAGTGATCTTCACTTAGAGGTTGGAATCGACTAAAATAGTCGACTAATTTAGTCAACTAACTTTTTTTTTAACAACTAATAATCAATTATTTAGTTGACTAATACTAATTATTATTATTGTCTGGCCAATTATAAATGAAAACGTTTTTTGTGGTACAAAAAAATTTAAAAATAAAATAATGGAAAATAATAACAATAAATATGTGGAGTAACAATATTATGAAGAAGATGATAATGGTGGTGTTAGTGCTGGTGTTGGCAATAATTATCCATGCGAAATAATAAACATTGATACAAGGTCAAATCATTCCAACAATTTGTTGGCTTCGAGCTCAAGCAGTGGTTCCAGACCTTTAAAAAAATGAATTATAACATATAGCTTCATATGGAAGTATTTTGAGAAAATTAAAGATTCAAATGGAGATGAATTTGTAATCTGCAAATTAAAAAAAAACATTAATAATAATGAAACAGAATGAATATTCTAATTAAATAGGATGTTATTCCCATGACTAGTGTGTGACCATTTTGCAAAGCAAATGGTTACATGCTAGTATTAAAAAAATTTAGTCGACTAAAAGAAATTTTGACCAACTAGTAGTCGACTAAGGATTTTTTGGATGATTCCAACCTCTATACTAAGGAGGTTTCGCCCACAACCTTATCTGTAATACTACTGGTAAATGGCATTTTTGTCTTCTAAGTATGTCGGGAGTATGTTTTTTTTTCGATTCTTTTGCACAGTGAATGTCAGTATTATTTTAAAGGCTTTTGTGATAATTTTTATTTTTTAAACTATATAAATAATATGCGAATTTGATCAGCAAAATTAGCCAATCAGACGAATTTCTGCCTACGAAATAACAATTCCTTCTTTTTTTTAAAAGAAATACAATAAAAATCCTACTAACAACTCCTTAAAATAGAGATACAAACAATTTATTAAACGGTTCTGAGGGTATAGAATATGCAATTGCATCAGGTGGTTTCCTTTTAGATTATTATAATGGATAATAACCATTTGCTTTTATCTACGTTTGAATATCAGGTGTTTAAATCTTAAATACCTTTTTTGGGCCTGATTTAGTAGGTAATGGTGAAAGGTTGGTTTCATAGTGAACTGATTAGTTTACTAGAGGGCAGTCTCATTGTCTTGCAGCAAATAAAATTACCTCATCGTAAAAAGAAAAAAACAATCTTCTTTTTTTCAATCATGTCTTTTTCAATCATGTCTTTTTCAATCAAAAAAAAGAAGAAAAGAATTTGTTCCCAAGATTGCTAGATAAGTGTTTATTAAAAGAATGGTGGTTGTCGTCATTCTAATTTATATTTCCTTCTTGTCCTAAGTTCGGAAACA